CTTCTAAAGTGTAGGAAGCCTAAACTGATGACCAGATGGATAGACTCTCACACATGGTATGCACCTAAAGTCTAGGAAGCCTACACTGAGGGTTAAGTGGATGGACTCTCACCTAGACCTAAAGTCTAAGAGGTCTACACTGAGGACTAGGTGGATGGATTTTCACCTAAGGTGTGTACTCCTAAAACTCTAGGAAACCTACTCTTTAACTTATGCTTAAGGTGATTTAAGGTTTTCTATATCTTCCAATTAATTAAATCATCAATCCCCATTTTTTATGACTTAACCATTTAAAAAATAACAAAACAAACGAAAAGAAAAGATTGATCCGCTTTCAAATCTAACAAATCAAAAAAGGAAATAGCAAGTGAATCAACCTAAAAAAACGTGTGAAATCTTTCAATAACTGTTATTAAATAAACTCTCAGAAAGAATACTTAAGTTTGTTCCAAGACAATGCACAAAGTCGGCCCGAATCGACACATAAAGTGACTCCAAAACAACAATCTAAATCAGCACTTATAGTGATTCCAAAGCAGTGCGCAAAATAAGTTTAAATTGGCACCTAAAGCGTCTCCAAAATAATGCGTTAAAATCAGACTTTAAATTCGCCTCAAAACATTATGTAAGCCTCTTTAAATCAGCAAGCAAAAGTACCCAAAACAGTGTCTAAATTGCTCCAAAATGGTGCCCAAATTATTTCCAAAACAGCATATAAATCCTAAGAACGAAACGATACATTTCACATTAAGAAATAACAGTACCTCTTACGTAGAATTAAAGATCAGAGTGGTGTAACTATAAAGCTTAGGTTCTACATATGCAGAGAATATAAGCATTGTATGGTATGCACGTAAAAATTGAAGCCAACGTGATAGATATGCAAACACATAGCAATTGAGTGACGTGTATGTAAAACAAAGCTTAGGTATTAGGCATACAAGTACACATAATTGACATATAAGTTTATTGAAGACTTGGGTGTTGGATATGTAAATACATGAGGGTTATATGGTATATATATAAATTTCCCGTAATTGAAATATTTAAATCCTGTGCGTAGATCTCTCAAATAAAAATCAATTTTATAAGAATTGGTCAAAATTGGTGATGCCAAAAAAAATATACAGTGCAAACACTTGTTCGTATCGTAAAAAAAAATAACAATGATTTTATTTCATCTTAAATGATATATGAGTAGAAAACTGGAGCATAAATCCAGGAATAAGAGAGTTTTACCGATTTTAGAAAAGTTGTAGCTCGAAGGAGGAAGGTGCATGCCTCAGAGAACCTTGTAATACCTTTCTGGTTACTTCTAATCGTCACTCTATTATTCGCAGTGATTCGAGGATCAAGTCACGAGGATCACTGTTCTGGCGAAATCCGAGAAAGTCGAACAGGAGACGCTAGCCAAGCGGGAGGAAGAAGAGGCGAATGTTTTCGGTGAGGGAGGAAGAGGCGAACAACTTCGATCATATGAAGAAGAGATGAAGCAGCTGTTCGGTAGAGAGGGGAGCAAGCGTGCTAGTGCTTCTCTAGTGCTTCTTGATCGAAAGAGGATCGAAAGAGAGGAAGCGTGTGGCTTCAGGTCGTGGAAGAACAGGGAGTCGAACTGGGGTTCCTTCGGTTCGCAGAGGTGAGAGGGGTGCGAGAATTCCTGGTGTAGAGGCGAGACGAGGGAGTCGAGCGGGCAACAGATGCTTCGATCGGGATCTTCGATCGAGTCGCAGAGAGGAGCCGGGTGAGCAAGGTCGAACGGGATTGAGGGAGGCGAGGCGAAGGGATATTAGCGGGATCGGGGGAGGCGAGCCTCGATACAGAGAGGCGAGGCCAAGCGAGCTTCGATGCTGAGAGATGAGACAAGGCGAGTGTGGGTTTTCGGTCGAAAGGAAGCTGGGTTTCGAACTGGAGGAGATGGCGTCGAGCGGGAGAGGAGCTGACAAGGATTTCAGTGGCGAGGGAGAGAGGGGTTTCGGTGCAGAGGAGAATGGACGAGCGGAGCGGAGTTTCGATCGGGAGGAGGCGACCGGCTTTCGGTTCAGGGAGTCACAGCGAGGCGGGCTGAGCAGGGGTCTCGGACGGGATTCCTCGGCACAGCAAGGAGTCGAGCGAGGGAAGGTTGGCGAGCGAAGGAAGATGAGCAGGGGCTTCGGAGAGGCAGAGGAGGAAGACCGCGAAGGAATAAGCGATTCCTTCCTTTTAGAAT